GATCTTATAATTTAATCTGGAAAAGTACTCACAGCTGTTGCATTTCTTTACAAAACAAGCAATATCGGATGTTGATACAAGGTGAATTTGACAAAGTATGAGTGTATATATATAAACCAATGTTATACCATATATTAGTAAACTGTTCATTACATGCACTTCCGTTTCCATAACATAGGTATGCAATACAGTACAACATAAACGATAATCAAACGTTTTTTTTCTGAAGTATCAATAACACTTACAAGCCAATAAATGCACAAATATGTTCAAGACTCCATGGTTTGTTGGAGATGGAATATTTAAGGTATCGACGATACTACGATACCCCAGTAGTGAGCTAAGATTCGCTTTATCCTTTATCGCATCAGCTAGTTGAGATGGTACTAGAAAGAAATAAACCTTTCGGCATGCACAAAAATAACCAGATATATTCACGGTAAAATATGCCAACACTCGCAGTTTATACCATGCACATAAATAATATCTGATATCGACCTTCTCCTGGAAGAGCAGTTGGTTGCCTCACATGCATGCATTTTTGCATATATGAGAAATGAAATGGACGGCTCCATAATTTAAATTAGTATACACTGAGGACGTAAATACAATGTATATGTATAATATCTCAAGTTCAAAATTTTAACCCTCATAATACATTCAAAATCAATGCTCATCAAATCACCTTAATACATTTTGTTTTCCCAATCATTTAGGGCAATTACGTATTCGGTCAAGCCTGTGTTATATTTTTAATTGCACCTCAAAATGATTTTAAAATGAAAAAACGTCCCATGCTTTGTTTTGGATGTCCATAATGTTTTCAGAACGTAGATGGGTTTCATCATTAGACTGTTCTTTATAAAATCGATCGAGAAGCCAATTTCATGTATGTTGAGGTCTTCTATGTAGTATGTGCGAGGACTAAACTTTAAGTGTATTGTACCGAGAACAAATGCATGGACAGACACCTGACAGAACATACCAAAACTTAAAAAATATCACTTGTACTTATTGAAAAATCCAGGTGTGCTCCTTAAACAAAGCTAGGAACGATACGAGGTTGTTTTATCTCATTAAATTGAAAATGTGAGTTTATACGCTGGATTGTATTTCTAAATCCACTTAGTTAGAACAACTCCAGTAGATAATCTGGGTATTCTGGAAAAGCTTAGCGATCTTTCTTTGAGTAAATTCTGAAAAAATATTCATTTGACAGGTCACCACCAATTAAGGAAGACAGCATGTTCTGTTATCATGAATCATATCATCTCAATCCCTCTCAACTATGGAATGATGGGTCAAACTTGTTGACCCAAGAGAGCCCAGATTTCAGTTTGGGTTTATTAAATCTTTGAAGATGATATCACCTGTATTTGTTTTAATATCTTTAACGAGAGCGATAATATAATGTAATCCATATAAGGTAATGTGTTGGCATTCTGGGAATTAATTACAAGACAACAATCCAGATGATGACAGGTTTGCCCTTTTCTGTCAGATGAATTAATTTTAAAGACATGTCTCATAATATCATGATCTAATTAATGTATACCTAATTTACGTTTCTAGTGAAACAGAAAGATGTTATGAGTATCGGAGTGATGAATATCAGAATTGCATTTACTGACACTGTATTAACGAGGACCCCAATTATTCTTGAAAAAATATGTGGTTTGGTTATAAGTGCTAATCTGCAACCTTTATTCTTGTTTAATCTAGGAAATCTGGCTTTACTTCTGTTGAGTCATTTTTGACAATTTTTAAATTCTGAAGATTTGGTTTTTATCGTAGCTATGTATTCTGATATCAAAAGATAATCATTACACCTTTGAATATGACTGTTTAATTAATGCAATCCCGGACTACCACATTGCTACTATTTGAAGTCGTTTTCATTGAATAATATTACACCAAAGGACCGTACATGGTATGACTTCGGAAAGTGTCTCTGACCAATGGTATCACCTGGTCATATCATAGCACAATGATACCGCCCCTTTCAAATTGATGCTTGCAAACATGATGTTGTGATACGATACATACTCCTATTAAATGCAAGCTCTGGTTCCAAGAGCTCAAGCTGTTCACGAATGCAGTTATTATTTTATGTATGTGTAATTTTAAATGTTCGTGCCAAGCGTATTTTTAAATTGATATATCACAAATTCTCTCGATACTTCACTACTTGTAGAAATAAATAGACCTGCTCCTAATATTTGAGCAAGTTCTACATTGGGGAGATGCTATAAAACCAATCTTGATAAATTGTCTCTCTAGCGACTTTCTGGTCATGCTTCAAACACATGGTTTATTCTCAGCAGCTGGTAAAACATGAGACATTAAATGTCAACGATGGATTTTTTAATTGAAATCCACGCAAAGTGCCGTTATGTTGCAAGTCACTTGGGATCCAGCCGTTTTGTAAAGAATAAGCATTGAATAGTGAAGTGGTGGTATATTGTTGGAAAATTGCAAAACTACAAAACATGGAAATATGAGCCTAAATGAATGCTAACAGTTATCGTTCAAGTATATGTTCATATAGTTAGTACAGGCAATAACAATTGTTAATATTAAAGAGAATCTAGCGAGCAAGCTAAACAAAAAATATAACATTTTCAGAATATTTCGCCGATATCATACCTTGTCGTGTCTATTGTTCTAGATCTACCGAAGTACATACGTTATTCCAGGGAAACTATTGTTTATGGTTTCAATTTTTAGTCAATAGGAGATTTATACACTTTTTCCCAAAGGACGATTCTCGGTTTGGAGAACAGCCTCCTGGGCTAAAAAAATTTTCATGAAAAATATAGAAATATTACCCAAATTAAACTATGAATATTCAAAAGAGGACAATTAAATCTAAAAGATGTAAAAATAACAAATTGGTCTGAAGCAGGGATAATGCTCAAATAGACCGATTCAATAAAATACAAGTCTCGATTTGGGGAAAGAAGTTCATCAGTGTACTGCGCTAATATTTTTTTGCGAAAAATCTAGAAATATACCCAAATTAAATTATGACTATTCAAAAGAAGACATTCAAATCTATATTATGTAAAAAAAAATCAAATTTGTCCGAAGCAGGGATAATGCTCATTTAGATTGATGAACTTTGTTCTCCAAACCGAGAATCGTCCTTTGCACTTTGAATCCTTTATAGCTTCACCAATTTATAATATATCATGGATCTTTTGGGATATACTGTCTTTGAGATAAAAAGAATAGATTGGTAGGCTAATTGTATGTGTTGCTTGAAATAGATATAGATAAAAGATCAATAGATTGAAATAATAATCTGTTTTAATAATGTATTAACAGTGTTAACATAATAAGGTATGTTTAATATGCACGTAGTTGGTTACATGCCCATCTATAACAGATTTGCAAAGGTTAGTTCTGTATCTCATTGTGTAATACATATGACGTAATGTTGTACCCAGTTACATACCCCACTTTAACAGATTAGCAAAGGTAAGTCATGTATCGTATTGTGTTACACATAAGACGCAATGTCGTACCCACTTACATACCCCACTTTAACAGATTAGCAAAGGTAAGTCATGTATCATATGTGTTACACATATGAGTTAATGTTGTACCCAGTTACATACCCATCTTTAACAGATTAGCAAAGGTAAGTCATGTATCATATGTGTTACACATATGAGTTAATGTTGTACCCAGTTACATACCCCTCTTTAACAGATTTGCAAAGGTAAGTCCTGTATCGTATTGTGTTACACATAAGACGCAATGTCGTACCCAGTTACATACCCCTCTTTAACAGATTAGCAAAGGTAAGTCATGTATCATATGTGTTACACATATGAGTTAATGTTGTACCCAGTTACATACCCCTCTTTAACAGATTTGCAAAGGTAAGTCCTGTATCGTATTGTGTTACACATAAGACGCAATGTCGTACCCACTTACATACCCCACTTTAACAGATTAGCAAAGGTAAGTCATGTATCATATGTGTTACACATATGAGTTAATGTTGTACCCAGTTACATACCCCTCTTTAACAGATTAGCAAAGGTAAGTCATGTATCGAATTGTGTTACACATAAGACGCAATGTCGTACCCACTTACATATCCCACTTTAACAGATTAGCAAAGGTAAGTTATATATCATATGTGTTACACATTTGACCGACTGTTGTACCAAGTTACATATCCCTCTTTAACAGATTTGCAAAGGTAAGTCCTGTATCGTATTGTGTTACACATAAGACGCAATGTCGTACCCAGTTACATACCCCTCTTTAACAGATTAGCAAAGGTAAGTCATGTATCATATGTGTTACACATATGAGTTAATGTTGTACCCAGTTACATACCCCTCTTTAACAGATTTGCAAAGGTAAGTCCTGTATCGTATTGTGTTACACATAAGACGCAATGTCGTACCCACTTACATACCCCACTTTAACAGATTAGCAAAGGTAAGTCATGTATCATATGTGTTACACATATGAGTTAATGTTGTACCCAGTTACATACCCCTCTTTAACAGATTAGCAAAGGTAAGTCATGTATCGAATTGTGTTACACATAAGACGCAATGTCGTACCCACTTACATATCCCACTTTAACAGATTAGCAAAGGTAAGTTATATATCATATGTGTTACACATTTGACCGACTGTTGTACCAAGTTACACACCCCTCTTTAACAGATTTGCAAAGGTAAGTCCTGTATCGTATTGTGTTACACATGATTTATGTTATATTTGTTAATGATCGATAGAGGTTTGGTACAGGTTTTCCTTTCCCATTACGAGAATATATTTTTGTAAAACAAAAAGATAGCTTACAGAACATTAGAACAAAGCTTAACAACAACACAAAATAATGAAGCTCACCTAGTACATACAGTAGTGTACATATTGCTACTTGTACATGCAAATTTTCCCTGTATTAATATAATACGTGGAATAAAATTACCAATGACTGCTGTTGAACCGAGACATTAAATATTACATACATGCACATCCTCGTCTATGTCGACCCCAAATTCATTGTTGTAAGGATACTGCAAAGCACGTACACGATCCAAGAATCTCACACCACCGCCTTTAGATCCAGATCCATTGCCAGAACTCTGTTGGGCTGTCGCAGCTGTCGCTAGAATTCCACTTCGTGCCAACCCACTGGCCATATTTGACCAATTATCACAGACTTGACAACCAATTTAATAATCCTTCTCGTATATTCGTTTAGTAAAGGTGTTACAAGAAAGCGGAACATAACTGCTCCCTAATAAGTTACATATGCTTCAAAAAGCTACCAATAAGACATACGGCAACTTCCTCTAGTTTATGGAAGACACTTGCATAATAAACCTCCATATTTGAAGAATGTATCATGTAAGCAATGTATTATGTTCATCATAATTCCTTTGCATGCAGTAAGCAATAGCTGTTTTGGTTTAACTGATTACTGCATCTTCTACTCAACGGGACGTACCTATTTATCCACCACCAAAGCTAACATTCACAGTCACTGTTTTTACAGCTTGCTTGAACACCTTATCCAGTGAAGTACTATTGATTTCAAGGTAGCAATGCAATCACAGACCTCCGTCGGTTGCCCTAACTTTTATTTCTCCAATTCCCATGCATATCTATACACTAATTACTCACAGCTCCAAGCAGCGCTTCAAATTAAATATTTCACCGAATTCCGTAAGCAAGTTTCCTGATATACCATATGTAAAACTTTAAATGATTATAAAGTACCTTCGAGTGGCCTCCATTTAGTAATCTAGGGAGGGCCAGAGCTAAAGAGATAATAAGGACTTGACACTGGCACTCTCCTTCAATTAACAGATGAGAAGAGAAGTGATAACATATTGTTATATAGGAGGCTAGTTGAGAAGGTTCCCAACCTTTAAGCATTGATGAGGTGAAAATATATACCTTTACTGAACACCCAACTTGAGCTTTCTATTTCTCGATCTCTTGTGGTTGTTAGGCTCTCAGCCCCGATTGGCGAAAAATAATACGTTGTCTAGCTCTGCACGATGAGCTATTACTCTTGGTAAATGCTATCTTTACTATAAATAAAGCATTATCTGAAGTATTATAGTATTTCGGAAAAAAAATCCATTTTGATCTCAAAACCGTTAACTTTTGCATTATTTACTCCATGGCGAACATTTATAACATTTACATTACATCAAAGGCGGAATTCACTCTTCAATCTGAAATTACCTACTATATTAACTTTTTGATGTACCGTTATGACAGTAAAATGAGACATGAAAATAATATCGCATCAAAAACCATAGTTTGCTTATACATTCCCCTCCATAAGTTTGGCTACCTTTGCTCCCCCCCCCATTGAACTACGTGTTAAAGCCTCTTTACCTTTGAATTTTTATCTACTTAACCTGCGATGAAAATACTTATACTATTGATGGTAACGTAATTTGACTTTTTTTCTAATACCTCCAAATTTTCTCAATTTTTTCCCTCAATTACAATTGGTCGAAAATTTATGATTTTGATGAATTTTTGAAAATCATTGCAAAAAAGTTGGGTAGGCAATTGAATTTGCTAGCTTTATTTAACAAAATATTGATACGTTTCTTCAGGTTCAACAAAGTTCTAGGTCTTTAAAGTCAAAATTGTTTTTCAAAAAACCTCTCCCATTGAAATAACAGAGGAGGCGAAAAGCTATTTTCAAAAATGACTTTGAAGCGCTGTAACTTTAGTATTCATCAAATAAACTAAACACTTCGTGTAAAAAATTAGACAATTCAATTTTCTATATAAAATATTTTTTGCTTAATCTTTTACTGAATAGATATCCTGATTTCTGATTTTCAAAAATTCATCAAATTTATCATAAATTTTCGACCTATTGTAATTGAGGAAAATTGAGAAAATTTGAAGGTATTGGAAATAAAGTCAAATTACGTTTCCATTAATAGTATAAGTATTTTCACAGCAGGTTAAGTAAATAAAAAGTCAAAAGTAAAGAGGCTTTAACAATGGGGGAGCAAAGGTTGGCAAACTTATGGAGGGGAGTGTAAATGAAAGTAATACGTATGCTCAAACTCATTCATTTCGACCTTTATCTAAAATGGCTTCTTGAAAACCCATGTTTCGTTTACACACACACACGGGAAGGATAATGCCGTACGTTTCAATCGTCTGCAAATATATTCTCCAGATATGCTCGTTATTATACTGTACTGTGGAAAGAACTTTTTAGCAGCTTACTTTCAAATTTGTTTGACATTGTATCATTACTTTGAATTATAGTGAAGGTGCCAGCTACATTATGTATGAACTATGAAGAACTTCTTAACATGTTCATCAAATTGGTCTTTTGTCAACCTATAGCACCGATTTATGTAAATTGCTTCGGCGATCTTCGAAATTCATTTTACTTCATCGAGAAACGTGTTTTGCAACATGTATGTTGATATAAAATATGTTTAATGTAAATGGTTGCATTTGATTTACCATCACATTGACAAACATATGGAATTACTTTTCACCCTAATACAACGCAGTATCTGTATTAAAGACACGTATCTACCGAATAGCATTTGCCATCTATCCAAAGCGCTTGATGTGAAAATCAGATACTTATGTCTGAAGAATCCTTCTCGTGTGATCAATGGTAAGTATGATCTGCAAGATTGGTGTTTCTAATTCAGTTGAGATATAATCAGCGAAAGCGTGATTAGAATATTTGTCTATTTCCCTCAAAAGGAAAACTGCACATCTACAGGGTTGGCCAAAATATGTCCACATTTTTGTTTTGCTACAACGTTTTTAATATCACAGACACATCTTTAAATTATATAGCATTGGAAAGACAATTTAATTTCCAACAAAATGATATATAACTCATTTCACATCAATGCGTATTCGTCTTCATTAATATTTTGATTACCACAGGGCTCAAAATCATGATGTACCATATTGCTGAATGCAGAATGCCAAGAACTGTTAGGTTCATGTAATGATAATATAGCCTAAATGATGTAGCGAAGTCTGTATGAAATAGTTGAATATTTACTCTTTTTCTGCACATTTTGGAAATCATGCCTATTTAAGGCTAAACTTATCATGAAATACTCAACAATCATGTTGTATTTACATAACTTAACCTAACTAACATTTTAAATGGCAGACAATGCAATTATAGACACCAGAAAAGGAAACAATGGAAATTTATTCCATATCATAGGTCTTTATAACGAACTACAATGCATAAATAGACACGGTGCGAGAATAAATAATCTTGATTTACGTCATTTAAAATTCAAAATTCAGTCAAACTGATGTCATATTTCGAATCTACATGTACAATTACATCTAGAAATGTGGTTTTGAAAAGAGTTTATTAACTTTGAAAATTTTATTTTCTTTGAAAATGTGACTTTTAAGTCGGGGAGATTCCCCATAGACCCCATGTTGTAAAATCACAAAAAGTGAAATATATTTTCTTGTGTTGGGCAGATAACATTTTCCTTTACTGGACATATTTTACTTTGTAGAACTATCAGATACATAAGGGTAATATGGAAAGTGAGCCACTAAAACTGATGAATATTCAAGTTTAAGGGAATTTTGTAATACCCTGCCATGTTATTTCCCCCGAATCAGCCACCTGGTGGCGAAACTGGTAACTACCTACTCGCATCTGAGTATTTTAGGTTCCACGATTATTTTAAAGCTTGTAATGATTTACAAACAATAAAACTAATCTCAAATACTTTTTCTTTATATGTCAAAGTCTAAACATGTTGATTAAGCAATGTAATATTATGCAAGAAGCTCAAAACAAATAGCAAAATCTTGTTTTCGAATGTTACTACCTCATGATATGGAAATTACCATGGAATCACCAGTATAAATTCATATTTTATGAATCATACATCATTTTGTTGAAAATTGAACTATCCTTCTAATGATTTATAATTTATGGATATTTCTAACATATCAGCAAATATATTATGAAAATAAAAATGTGGACGCTTTTTGGCCCACCCTGTTGTTGGACTAAGGGTTCGAGTCTAGGAGTCAAGTTTGTTGGTGGTTTATTGCAGTTCAAACGGAAATTTCAACATGAATCATTGGGTTAACAAACGAGAATCGATGGAAATAACAGAAAATGCTCTCAACAAAACTTGTCGATGAGAATATGTAAGCATATGTGCCAAAGGGAAAGGACCAAACATTGAACACCGGGCATACGGGAAACAAACCCCTACTATCCCAAACCATAATATAACGTGAAAATAAACAATGTCACATTCCCCTCCGAACGGGAAACATTTATGTTAAGAATTCAGTAACTCACATACGCTATGTTTCAAAAGGCGCCCTAATAGAAAAAGATCAAAAAGTTATTTAATAGTGGGTTAACCAGGTTAAATTTGCAGATCTCAACCGTTTCTGAAGTTCAATTTACGTAACCAAAGTGAAGTATTATATCGATGTTTTTCGATGGCGATATTTTCTCAAACATATGATACTGATAAAATGTCATGAAAATTCTGCCTATAATTCATGAAATAAGAAAAGATCGTAACTTCGAGGTTCCGACATTTTGACAGTTTCGGTAACTCGTTTGAAGAGGGTAATACCAGTGATGCTGTTCACTTCCCTACAAGCCTAAACCTTAACGGATCATTATTGTTCACCATGTCCAATTACTAAAATAACTGCTGAATCCACAGAATAAGAGCGTTCTTTGGATTTGGGCTAGGCTAAAGCAGGGCATTGAAAAATGTACTTCTCAAATTCAGCCGAAAGTTCATTTGAAACAAGATCGTTGTGCTACAAAGTGAAGTATTATATCGATGTTTTTCGATGGCGATATTTTCTCAAACATATAATACTGATAAAATGTCATGAAAATTCTGCCTATAATTCATGAAATAAGAAAAGATCGTAACTTCGAGGTTCCGACATTTTGACAGTTTCGGTAACTCGTTTGAAGAGGGTAATACCAGTGATGCTGTTCACTTCCCTACAAGCCTAAACCTTAACGGATCATTATTGTTCACCATGTCCAATTACTAAAATAACTGCTGAATCCACAGAATAAGAGCGTTCTTTGGATTTGGGCTAGGCTAAAGCAGGGCATTGAAAAATGTACTTCTCAAATTCAGCCGAAAGTTCATTTGAAACAAGA